TAGACTCCTAGTCTCCGATGTATTGTTGGATGCGGCAGCGAGATCAGCGCCATCAGATGTCTCCAGGCTCCGTCTCAGACGCCTGCCTTGCAGGGAATCTCTAATGATTGAAAAATCGAAGCACCCTCATTTCAGCCAGCGCCGAGAAAAGATCAAATAATGACCGGACCGCACATGGGAGCATTGAGAGGGCTCCACCAGAGTGCAGTTTGCGAGTGACAGTCATGTCAGACGCAGAAAAGGACAAGGAGAGCATCGAGGCCGAGGTCGAGCAACCCCAGCTCACTGAGCCCACGTTCGAAAGCAAACCCAGTGCCCGTCGGGTTCAGTGGGCAACCACACGTACTGAGCTGTGGGCCTTTTACATATATTATATTGTACGTTCATTCTTTGCAATGCTCCAGGACGCAGTGCGCTGAGCTTACGATACACCTCAGGGCAACAACGGGCTCTCTGGGTTCAATTATGGTCCTTCACAATTTCAGAACTTGCTATTCCTAGCTGGCTACGACCCGAGCCAACCACCGTTTACGACCCCCTGCGGCAGCGGCGGCTGTGTTCTTCCCTTCATGGGGCGAGTGCGAGACAGTAAGACGATACCCATTCCAAGAGCGCCAGCCCTGATGTTCAAAACGCTCTCTTATAGTTAACTCCATCGTCCTTTTGACGAACGGCATCAGCTTTGCTTTGCAAGCTGCCGTGTTATTGCTCATTGGATCTTGGGCGGACTACGGCACCTGGAGGTTTGTTTATCCTCTACTGCACTCCCTCCACGCAGCGCACTCACACAAACCGTACCAGACCGAATATCACAATCTTCTTCACCATCCTCGCCGTCGCCGTCTCCTTTGCCTGGCTGGGCGTGCAGGACCCGTCCAAGTGGCCGGCGGGGGTGGTTCTGTACATTCTCGGCCGTGAGTCGCGCACGACTGTTCTGTCCTTATCTCCTGTTTCTGATACATCGGCGCTTTTGTAGTCATTGCTTATCAGGTGCGACTTTTTTTAAGGGTCGCATCGGAAACGGAGGTAAAATGCTGATTTTGCGCAGTGTTCGCTAACTTTTTGGACTGCCGCGTTCCCGGGCCTGGCGCGTGACCTCCCCGAAGTGAAGGAGTCCGCGGCTCAGGTAGACGACGGTACAAAATCGTGAGTGTGCGTACAGTAAACTTCTGCTCAGCTGATAATAATCGCACTCCCAGCATTCAGGAGCACGCCGACTATGAATCATTTGCTCGCAACCGGATCTCAAACGTTTCGTTCGCCGTTTGCTCTGCGGGGGAGATTGTCATCCTGGCGATTATGGTTGGCATCCTGAAGGGTATTAAATCCAGCGCCAGCACCGAGAACAACACGAAAGCGTTCAGTGTGCTTATTGCATTCTCTGGTGGTGTCTGGTGTAGGCTATCATCCGCGATTGCACTGGAAACTGCGGCTGACTATGCATTGTGTTAGTGCTCTGCGCCTTGCCTTGGTTCTTCCTGGAGAAGCGAAGGCCAGGTCTAACACTCCCACGAGGAACGTCCTTGTTGATCATCGGTTTCAAGCAAACCTATGTAGCGTTCAGGGAATGTATGCGACTGAAGCAGACGTTCCTCTACCTTATATTTTACTTTTTGATGTGAGTTGCCATCCGCTGCTGAATCTTGTGGCGAGCTAACAGGAATGTTCTCAGGGGCGATGTGTTAAACACGACCGTGTTAGTATTTACCGTTACTCGTGATAAACTACACGCCTAACTTGGGTCGACAGAACGGTCATTGCGACGCTGCAGAATAGCGTTGTATCCTACTCCACTCTACAACTTACGCTACTCTTAATTGTGGGTATTGTGACCCAAGGTATCGGGATCTAGTGCGTAATTTTCGCTCAACCCTAGATAAGTGTTAAACGTTAAACGATTATGTTAGTGTCTTCTGGATAGTTCAGAAGAAATTCCGGATTTCAACTAAGAAGGTGGACACACCTTCCACCTTCAAGCCATGCGTGCCCTAACGTACCGAACGTAGATGCTCTGCTTCAACGTCTTCTGGATCATCGTATGCCCGGCGTCTTCTTTCTCCACCTAAGCTTCTCACCCCCTTTAGGTCCTGACAATCTGGGGCCTCGCCGGTGTACACACCACCAAGTTCGGGTTCAAGCATGTCTGGGAGATATGGCTATACCAGGCATACTATGGCCTCATGGTCTGCCCGTGGTACGCTTACAGCCAGACGATGATCAGTGAGGTGTCGCCCCTCCCGCAGATGTTCCTCTTTTTCGCGCTGTTTTCGGTCGTGAGTCGGTCTGTGGTTCTGCGTGCAGTGTGACGTGCTGATAGGTGGATGCAGATCGGTAAGACGTCTGCGTTCATAGGGCCGTTCGTCACTTCGGCGATTATCACTGCGTCGGGGAACAACAACTCGATGCCCTTTGCGTTCTTGTTTGCTCTGTGCGTACTTCTGGGGCTTCGGCTTGTA